AAATTGTAGACTTGTTTCAATTTTGACATTTTGAATTTTGCACATCAACTCTACACGAAGTATTTATGCTACTCTGCCCCAGCAGATTTCCGCTGAAGTAATTACTTATAGAGGATCAAACTACAGTAGAAGAGCTTGGAAGGAAAAAAAATAAATAGAATGGAAGGGCATGAGAGAAGCCCGACTTTATCCAGATGGCAACTGCGAGACCACCAGTCCTGACAGAGATCCAGCTTGAGGAAATGAAGTCTAGACCAGCCTCAAAGTACTCTTATGAGGATGGGAAGCAGGCCAATAAAAAAATAACCCTCCAAAAAAACCAAGAAGACTGCAACAAGCACTGAAAACCCTGAGAAAATCTGGGTTGGTCGACCTCCCGATGTCAGAAACGTTTTTGGAAAAAGAAAAAGAAACAACACTGCTGAGAAGCAAGCAATTTCCAATCTAAAATACACTTGTGATTTTATAGTTCATTCAGTAATTCTGATGATCGCTTGGCTCCACCGTGAAGTTGTAAAGCTTTGAGTCAAACAGATTACTAAAGAAAAATCTCAGTAATAACTTTGGTGAGTCTCAGATATTTCATCCAGCACCATCACCGGGTTAGAATGGAAATGTGGCCAATTTATGACCAAGAACTGATGCCATCAGTCGTAGTTCTAGTATTTTTCTTTTTTCCAGACTCACTAAATTACAACGATGGGCCCCTGCTAAACGTTAGAATTTGGCAATGCCATTATAGGATGGACCAGTTACCAGCCTGGTGGATTACTGGATTCAATATTGAGGATTTTTGGTATCTGTTCTTTTTTAAACCAATTCCTGATTTTTTAAAAAACTAAATAGTTAATTAATTTAAAAATCTGCTACTTTGGCTCTGATACAGTTGCCTCTCTCTATTTGTGGTCAGTCTCGTGCAATGTATAAATTCTGACACCAATATTTTAATTTTTACTGCAGATTTATCTGTATGAAGACATTAATTATAAGTCTCCTTGATTAATCCATTAATAACCTCCAGAATGATCAACAGCTTCATGCCACAAGCTGTCAGAATGCTGAACTGCTGATCCAGATATGCAAACACTTCTGTATTTAAATCGCTTTAAGTTATTGGATCCTGAAGAAACGCTCTTTCATCTTACCTGTACTACTGTGTATGTAGAGCAAAATGACAATAAACTTGATTTGATTTGATTTAATTGACATGAGTATCAGCCCTAAAAATAAAAAAATATTGCTTGATTCCTTATTGTCATTATGAGCATGTTAGTCGATCAGCATTAACATTGACAGTCCTAAAAATTTGCTAACATGGCTAAAAAGTTTTGAGGCATACGAGTGAACTGGCATCATCAGGTGTCTGGAACAGAGGAAAATGTTGTGTATCTGTACACTCAGTGTGCAGACATCTTTGTGGTTTAACTTTACCCTTGAGTGACGGGTTCACTCACAGGATTCATTTTAAGGTGGAATTACATGGAATCAGCTAAACCGTTTTAATGGCACGATTACTAATTAAGCCAAACAAAAAAATGCTCTTTCGACGTCCCATCTTGCCCCAAAGTAGATGTCCAACTGGCTATATGAACTAGTTCTTTTTGTCTTCTGCTTTGTAATGAGAATGTCCTTGAGGCTGCTCCATCCTAAGGGAAAGTGTTGTGAATTTGGCCACAGTGGGGCTTCGGCCATCTGCCAGAGCATTTCCAATGTCTTGTCAGTGTCCTCAGATTATTTTAAGACACACACATTCATGGAAATCAAGTGGTGTGGTGGGGAGCTTTTAAAGGTGTGTGACACCTTCTAATTTATATAATTATGTTTTTATCTTGTGGCTTTATTGAAATGTGCCAAATGAGCTGTCCCTTTTATAGCCTGAAGTAGCTGAAGCTCATTTGGCAGCACACTGACACTTGTAAATCTCCAAGATGCACAAACATGCCGCATTCTATAAACTCACAAGCTTCCATCCATCCATCCATCCATTATCTATACACCACTTAATCCTCACTAGGGTCATGGGGGGCTGGAGTCTATCCCAGCTGACTCAGGGTGAAGACAGGGTACACCCTGGACAGGTCACCAGTCTATCACAGGGCTACACTTAGAGACAGACAACCAAGCACACTCACATTCACACCTACAGATAATTTAGAATCACCAATTAATCTCAACATGTTTTTGGACTTTGTGGGAGGAAGCCGGAGAACCTGGAGAGAACCCACGCTGCACAGGGAGAACATGCAAACTCTACACAGAAAGATCCCAGATGTCCTAACCGGGACATGAACTGGCGACCTTCTTGCTGCGAGGCAACGATGCTAACCACCGAGCCACCTTGCAGCCCCACTCACATACTTATTCATTTTAATATATTGACTTCCAGAAAGAGAAAGAAGGGCTTTTAGTCTGCTGTTGGTATATGTCAAAATAGCACACTGGGAAACGAAGGAAACAGGTTTGTCAGTAGATTTGTATCCAGTTTCTGCTCAGCCCGATATTACAGGATTGTACAGCATGTAAGTATTAAAAAATCATCACTTCCTGGGTCCATTGTGGGCTCAGCATGTTCTAGATTCCTTCCCTTACATGACGCCACACGCTCAAGTATTGGATCTGCGCCTTGGAAACATTCATTCATATTAAAATCATTTCTGTGGTTTGCTTTCTCAAATGTGCAAAATGATTATAATAAGTACCTTCGAGGTCAATCTGATTAAAAAGGCAAACAGAGAACAAATGTACTGAAACTCAAAAAACTTAAAATTAAGTAAATTAGTTAGGCATTCTGAAAAAAATAAATAATCCTATAAATAAATGCAACATTTAGCCATGAAGTTATGAAATAATCCTCTAATTAAAACTAAACAGACATCATTTTTTTGTCAAAATAGTAGAGTTTACTGCAGATTGTTTTGCACGTCATTCATTTAACCCCCGTCTGAACGGTAAGAAGATTGAAAGGCAAATTCCAAACATCTATCTTTCATCACAGTTACAATGTGTCAGAAGAGAAGAAATCATTGGATTTTCAACTTTCCTATCATACGGGAACACGCTGTGTGCGACGTGGGGTTCTGTCTCGAAAAATTTGTCAAATCTCTTCTCAAAATTGTGACGTTTCATGACAATCACAATACATCGTGTATCATTCAAACATTCTCCCCAAAAAGTGAGAATTCTGAGCTTCTTAAAGCAATCGAGTGTCCACATTGGACTCGACCAACAGTCACATGTTATATATTGATAAAATAAATGTTTTATGGCTTAAAAAAATCATATACAGAGGAGGAAGTTGCCAGCAAGTTTGTAGAGGTTGTGACTAAACCTTGTCAAATACCCTATCTATTGCATGTGGTGCCCCCATTTTCCCTATTTAAAAAGAAAAACAAGTAAAACAAACATTAAAATAAACTTAAACTTTTGTGGTTGTTTTTTAATGATATAACTGTTTCATACTTCACACAAGACCTTTCTGAGACCTTCTAGCCTCAAACTGATGTTTCCACAGAGCTGCAGGAATTTATTTTACAGTGAAAAATTTGCCCACAGTGAGTAAAAATAAGACAGGAGTTTTAAAAAAAAATTTAAAAAAAACAGAAACCAGAAACTTTTTGGAAGACAGCGGGTTAACTTCAAAATGGGTTTGTATGACCGGCTATTGTTTTGGTGTAACTCGTAATGTTTTATTTAATTCTGAATCCTCTGCGTCTCTAGAGAAATTAAATAACAATTCGTGTAACATCCAGATTCGACTTTCACGCCCACTCTGACCAAAATACAGAGTAGTTTAGTTTTTTCCTTCATTCTTTAAAAAGATATATTTTACACAGCTGAAAAGTGTTGAGAAAGGGTCATACTTTGTGAAAAACACAAAAGTCACTGTGAAATACAAGTAAAAATAACACGCAAGCTTTTGAAAATCTAAAGGATCTTTGCTATAAGACCAGAATGGAGGCCCTCAGGACCATAAAAATAAAATACTGGGGGTGGGTTTGTTTTTCAGCACATCTCTTGAAAAGCTAAAAGCAGCGGTGGTTTTGTCAGTAATTACAATATTTGCCAGTAAAGGTCTCTGCTAAGTCAAGCGGTGCTCATGAACTCTTGCAGTGGTGTTGCCATATTTCCTGGATCTAAACCGTGACACACAGAAGTGCTTCTCTGCCTTTAGCCTCAAGAGGGCAGGAGTGCATCAATTCTCCCTGATTGTTAAAAGAGAGGCCAGTGAAAGCAAATGTAGAAGGGCCCACAGCTTGGCATTCATATTTGGAATTAAATGGACGTCTTACATCCATCAGTTGTCTATTCACAACTTAATCCTCACTTGGAATGCCCAATTCTTGAATATTAATTGGTGAGCTACATGGTTATCCCCTTTTAAGTACTGCATAAATAACAAAACTAAAGAATTGCATTGGGAAATTTTCCATATGATTTACTCAACAAACCTTTTTATCTCAAAATTTATAGAAACTAATCCTAAATGTACTTTTTGTAAAGTGAAGGAAGAGACTCTCCGGCATCTTTTTTGATATTGCATATACTCAAAAGTAATCTGGAACCAATTGGAAAAAAATGTTCATTTCAAAATACATATTTCAGTCGCTCTGGAATTCTCAGACATTATAACTTATTACAGCCACAAAGACAGGAAAATAGAGTATGCAGTCAACCTATACATATTGCTGGAAAAACATCATATTCATAAAGTCATAAATTTGACTCTGTCCTGCCTTTGTATTTCTGTATGCCTCGAAATAATAATTTAAATTAAAAAAAAAAAAAAAAAAAAGGCTGTTTGATGTAACTCACGCGATGGTTTCTCACGGGATTCTCGGCGTTGCCTAGTGACATGTCCCCTAACGTCGCTAGGCAACTTACTTTTACTGTTACTCGGTGCCTTTCAACTCCAGCGTTAGCTAAAGTTAATGTAGGTTTTGGCCGTTTTAAAGCCCGTTCGCAGATTTAAAAACAAAAAACTAAAAACGGAGAACTTCCAAATGGCCGCTGTAGTTGCTCAGTCTCGTTTTATTTTCGGTTTGCGGACCGGTGTGAAAAACGGTTTGTGTTTCTGTGACGAAGAGACGCTCGTGTTCCCCAGCGGGAACAGCTGTGTTTGCTACAACACCGTCCAGAGGAGTCAGAGGTTCATTTCAGGTATTCAGACTCATTTCTACNCCTACTGAGCGAGGTGGTGCAGCTTGAAGTTTTAACATGGTGGCCACCTCTGTAGACAGCTGCTTACTGTTCTTCATCTCGCTAGTCTTTGGAATGTGTTTGATGGCAACTGGCAAACGATCTGATTTACGGTAGCCAGCAAACACGTTTCCATACCCTCCTGCACCGAGATGGCACTGCTCCTGATATCTGATTTCAAATGGAGATCTTCGGCGCGGCTTGTCATTCTCCACCACCAGGTCCAGGTTCCTCGACTTCTTTGTGCTGGGTCCCTCTCCGACGTCAGCGGCCTTCCTCTTCACACCCTGGCACTGTTTACTGCTGCCCTCTAAAGGGCTGTTGTCTGTGATGGTGTGGAGAGCTCCACTCGACTCTTCAGAGGAGGAGTCTGAAATGACAATGACACTCCAGATCCTCCTGTTGGCGTTGGACGGTCCTCCTCCATCTTCTTGGACTGTCCTTTCCTTTTTAGAGTTGGTGGATGGTTCAGCCAGCTCAGAAACTCTGGTTCTTTTATTGCTGGCTGCTGGTTCAGGACTGGCCTTTCTTTTATGGCTTCTGGTCCTGATATCCTTTGAAGATCCAGTGTGCAGATCTACTGTACTGGGATCTCCATTTCTCTTAACAGCTGGACAGCTGTTCTTCCTTTCAGTCACTTTGCTCATGTTGCTTTTCTTGAATTTCTAAACTTGAAATATCCAGCAAAAACAATGTGTGTATGTATCCGAAGCCTGTGTGCTTGTGTGGACTCTCAGCAGGGAATTTAGGCTTTTTTGACCAATGTAGAATGTAGAATGTAGAATGTAGAATTTAGAATGCGGCCAGTTCTTTGATATGTCATCATCATGTCGATGATGTCATCTACATAATGATGACATCACAGGAGTGTTCCAACACTTTTTTTTTCTTTTTATTTATTTATTTATTTATTTGCTTGATTGATTGATTGATTGATTGATTGATTGATTGATTGATTGATTGATTGATTGATTGATTGATTGATTGATTTGACAAGGGACAATGCACATTAAACAACATTGTACAATGTAAACGTGCCCGAGTTAGCTAAATTAAGCTAGTTTTCATCGGTAGTCCCTTTGGCAGCTGTCAAAGCCAGCCTAAAAAAAATTTTTAAATTAACATCATGTAACAATTTACACATACAATAAAAATATAGGGAAGAAAAAAATAATTTAAAAAAACATGCAACCAATATATTTACATTTCCTTTGACAATTAGTGCTCAGAGGTCTGTGTCTCTAGCAGCCACCTTTTAAATGAAAACAATGATGGAGACTCTCTCATCACTTCAGGCACTGTATTCCACTGTTGGTACCCTCTAAATGAAAAGACAGCCTGGCCAGACACAGATTTTCTGAGGGGGAGAATGCAGTCCTCCCTCACTGCCCCCCTGGTTACTCTGTCTGTATTTGATCTAAAATTAATGAAGTCATTCAGTGAAGGGGGAGCAGAACCAGTTTTAATTCTGTACATTCAACAAATATTTTTTTAATTTTACCATGCACATTGGTGTTCAAAAATAAACAACATCTTTTTTTTCTTTTTTTTTTAAATAACCTGTCCGGTCCAGTATCATAGCAAGCAGGGAATCATTGATCTAAATCTGCAAAGTTAAATCAAATCAAATCAAATCAGGTTTATTGTCATTCTGCTGTACATACACAGTAGTACAGGCAAGATGAGAGAGTGTTTCTTCAGGATTATTCAACCAGCAAGTCCTGCAGAATGCACGTCTGGGATAAGACAACAAACGTTCACTCTCGCTGTCTCCTGAAGGGGGCGCTGTGTCTATGTGCGCCGCCATTCGTTGAACATAGTGAACCTCTTCAGGTCCTGGTAGTTCTTCAAGGACACAAAGACACAATGGTGTGACGACAGTGAAGCCGCAGATGCTGCCCAGAGCTAGCTGTCTGTCTGTCCACCCAGAACAATGTCGTCCTCTCCAGCTGTATGTCCGTCTGTGATGTTGTCATAGAGCCATGTTTCTGTTAAAGCAAACACACAGCAGTCCCTCCACTCTGTGGGTTTCTCTCAGCAAACGTAGCTCGTCCAGCTTGTTGTGGAGGGGGCGGACATTGGAGAGTAGGAGCGATGGTACTGCTGGTCTGGAGGGGTTAGCCTTTAGCCTAGCATGGATCCCANTCCAGCGTTAGCTAAAGTTAATGTAGGTTTTGGCCGTTTTAAAGCCTTAAATTTTAAATAAACAAAAAACGGAGAGCTTTCAAATGGCCGCTGTAGTTGCTCAGTCTCGTTTTATTTTCGGTTTGCGGACCGGTGTGAAAAACGGTTTGTGTTTCTGTGACGAAGAGACGCTCGTGTTCCCCAGCGGGAACAGCTGTGTTTGCTACAACACCGTCCAGAGGAGTCAGAGGTTCATTTCAGGTATTCAGACTCATTTCTACGAGTAGTTCTCTCTCATCTCTTCATCTGTGTTCAGAAATAAAATATGAGTGTCATCGTCAACATCCAAGCTCCTAAAGAACAAGGTCACTGAAGCTTTATTGTTTTAATATTGTCATTATAGCCTGCTAAAAGAACAAAGCCTGTTATTTCTCCTTACTCTGCTTTTTTAAAGAAAGATTTTATTGTCCTCTGCATCATTGCCGGGGGATAAAAAATAGAACTGAGTGTTATGCTAACTATTGTTATATCTCAACAGTGGTGGTAAAATAATCAGCCTCATAAAGACCAATCAAAAAACTCTGAAGAGAAAATAAAAATAAGGGAAAAAAACTATCAGCTGCTAAATGTGATGCCATGAGACTCAAACAGCTCTCCACATATTGCTTTTACACAGTGTAAATGTACACAATTTCAAAATGAATAAGTAACTGTAATGATGCAAGCAAAATTGCATTAGTGCTTCAAACAAAGAGTGGATATACCACATTATAATCAGCTTTGCATCGCTTTAAGTAAATCTACCTTTGAGTTCCTTTTAATGTTTGAAGCAGCGGCATGATTTTCTACAAATCCATGTGAAAATATTAGAGACTTGAGTCACTGTGACTTCACTGTTTCTGAGCTGAGTGTCCTCTTGATATCACTTAAGAGTTAGTTAAGTCACTGACTGTCCAGCCTGATACACAGAGACAAGCTAAGCAGACTGAGAGAAGCTGGACGGACACACACACACACACACACACACACACACACAAACAGAGCCACTGTTGGCTTCATCGCTGCTGCACGGATCTCACACTATATTGGGACATAACATTAATGTTTTTTAAAAGGTAATCATTAGAGAATATGTGTAAAAATATATGTATATGTAAAAATGTGTTACCAGGGGCTGCAAGGTGGCACAGTTGGTTAAACACTGTTGCCTCGCAGCAAGAAGGTCGCCGGTTTGCGTCCCAGTGGGGAAACCGGGATCTTTCTGCGTGGAGTTTGCATGTTCTCCCCGTGCAGCNTCGTCCAGCTTGTTGTGGAGGGGGCGGACATTGGAGAGTAGGAGCGATGGTACTGCTGGTCTGGAGGGGTTAGCCTTTAGCCTAGCATGGATCCCAGCTCTCTTCCTCCTCCTTTGTTTGCATTCGTTTGCGCTTCCTTCTCTCTCGGGTAACTGCCGGCGTAGTCTCCGATCGGACTCCGTGTTGGTGTAGTATGTCCACATCACAACCAATCGCTGCAATTCCAGCGCCGTTCACTGTCATGACGCCCAACAAAGTCTCCCGGCCACAAGTTTTGCGGAATGAACATCTGGGATAGACAAGGCACTCAAAACGTTCACTTTTGTTGTCTCCTGAAGGGGTTGCTGCGTCTGTATGCGCCGCCATCACCATGGCAGCAAGTATAACCAGCAAAAGCTATTATAAGACTTCCCCCATCAAAACCCTCAAAAAGCTGTGTTTTTGCATCACTGCAATCTAAGAGGCTACCAGTTTTCAAACATGCTTTATGTTCTAATAGCTAAAAGCCACTTGGCATCTTGGAAACAGTTGTGAGCCCAGCGGAGAGAAAGAACCGATGAGAGCGCAGAGCAGCCAGAAACACACACAGTTACGCTACGAATGCAGTAGAAGTCATGATATAAACTTCACAGGGAATGAAAAAGAGAAGGAGTGACAAATCTCTAAACTGCTGGAGGTGAGTCCGTTTGCTTGTACACACTGAGTTCTATGTGAGAGACAGTTGTCAAACCAGTTGACGGAATGCGGAGAAAGTTCGATTCTGAGAAGTCTTAGTTTTAGAAGCGTATGATCAACTGTGTCAAAGGCTTTAGTCAGTATTGCGATCAGTTTTTCTGGCTTTTGCCCAAGCAAGGTTTCGCTCATGAAGCAAATCTGCTAAATGAGAAGTAAACCAAGGATTGTTC